GGAAAACGTGTACACGAGAAGAAAGTTAGAAAATTTCCTAAGGAAAAAACTTACTTCCAACCGGATTCTTCCCGTATCGAAAAAACGGTGCGCGAGAACAGCCTCCCCCTCCCCTCTTCTCCATTACCACCACCTGGAACACCTGTTTGCTTCCGATATTCCCCTTCAGCCAATATTTATCAGTCGACATCGTGATAAACCGTCTATCACCGTCGCAACAACAGTCATCTTGTCCCAGACAAGTGGGGAAAAAAAATAGAGAAGATCGACCTCCTCGACAAAGCTTGGAGCGAACCTCGAATCGAAACGAGGGAAGGAATTCATCGAGGCACGAAGAGAGGGAACAGAAATTGAGAGTCCTATCTCTTGGACGGATAAGATAAGATTGTTTGTCCATACTCTTTCGAGTCGGACTCCGGTCGATTGTTCCTCTCCCTTCCTCCTTCTCTCCTCCCCTCCCTCCCTCCCTCCCTTATCCGAAAACAACGACCTTTCCGGGCAAATTGGTTGGCTCGGTTCTAGTGAAACGTGATTAATCGTTGGTCCATCCTCTCGCGGCATTCCTCCGCCACGTTGACGCGACTCCACCCTCTTGACGATAGAGGCGCATCAGCCTCTATCATCGGTCTCGTTTCATACACAGGTGTTGTATAGCGCGATAATCGGATGAACCGGAACTCAATTGGGTTTCTCGAGGGGTGGTCGAGTCTTCGAGCATTGGTTTTCTCCCCTTGGGAATGAAAGATGGAAGAAAGGAGGGAAGGAAGAAATTGGGGAGAGAAGGGGGGAAAAAGACGCGGTCAGCGAAAGTACACGTTCGTTAGGGGTGGGTCGAGGAACGCATTCGCGAGTTTTACTTCTTCCCCGACTGGAAAATCATTTCGTTGATCGTTTCCACACCCTAGAATGTTCTACACACCCTAACGTCTAAACGAGTTAAAGTTACGAGTTGTCTTTTTTTTCTTTTTCTTTTTTTTTATTTTTTTTTTTTTTTTGGAGGAAGGGGAACCATACGTTATCGTGCGTTTGTGGATCGATTCGTCCAGTTTTTATTCCAGTTCTCTTCTTAAATGAAAATCGATAATCGATAATCGGAAATTGTAATTTCGTGTTCATAACTTGCAAGAAACAACGAGAGTTTGGAACTATTGCTGTTTAATTGGAATATTTGGGGGTGGGGGGTATTTTCGATAATAGGTTTCG